GTGATGGCATGCCGTCGACAATTGTTGAATGGCCACCTGCATGCCCTCCTTAATGGAGACCCTGGCCAGATCTCGCTGTTGCTCTGGCAGGGAGGCAGCTATGTTGTCCAGTTTTTGCATTATGAAAAACTGATACCTGGCAAGAGTAGCTTCGTAATTTGACATACGAAGGCTGAGCCCAGAGGCCGCATAGACTCGGCGTGCCAGCATATCAATTTTTCTTCCCTCCTTGTCTCGGGGAGCAGTGTGTCCTCTGGATTCTCTGCCCTGCGATGACTCAACCACTACCGAGTTTGGTTTGGGGTGGTGCAGGAGGAATGGTATATCCTGCTCCCAAACTTGGCACATAGCCTCGTAGCGTCGTAGGGTGGGCTGTGGCTGAGCTGGCAGGTCCCAAGGTTGGACCATCACCTGTCGGAGTGTTGTAATTAGTGGCAGGACGATGGCAGGTGACTGTTCACCTCTCACAATGTTGTAGAACTTGTTGGTGCTTGGATCGGGCTGGTGTTGTGCCTCGATCTCAAGCGACTGAACAAGTCTCGACATTAGCTCTCTGAAGGAGATATACGGCTCTTCTGGAGATGCTGGACCTTGCGAGGTTATAGCAATGTCTGGAGAGGCGGAATCTACCTCGGACTCATCGGAGTCAGCCTCAAAGCGGTACAGGACACCAGATGAAGAGCTCCCTGGTGATGTGGGGTGTCCTGACCCCGGGCGTCTTGATGTAGACGGGGCTTCTCCCTGGACTGAAGGTGAGGTACGGTCCCGTGGTTGTGGGTAGAAGCCAAAGGAATGGTACTCCCTCCAACCCGTTGGGTAGGTTTCATAGTAGGGTCGATCCCATTCCTCCCTGCGTTGTTCAGCCAAGCGACTTCGGTACCATGGTGGAGAGGCAGGAGATTCGGCCACTGGCCTAGATGGTGGCATAGGCGTGGGCAAGTGAGCCATGGGAGGAGAATCTTGGATTTCTTTGTCCGAAATGGACTGGCGCAACAGCTCCTTGGGTCGTTCAGGAGACTGCCCTTCCTGGTGTGTAACCCGTTCAGGGGATCCCGGCGGGGTGACCTGCATAGCGGATTGGAGCATCGGTACTGATGGTGTTGGTATCGATGCAGCCGTCGGGATCGATGGGGCTGACAAGCCCGAGTCACGGTGCTCCTTCGGCTTGTGAGCCAGTTTGCCCGCCTTGTCCTTCTTAGCCTTCTTGTGGCTGGAGGACTGATCTGAGCTGCCATGCTTTCTCTTCTCCCGTTGTTTGTGCGGGGGAGAAGGAAGTCTTTGGGCTCCTGGTGCCGAGGTCCCATCGTCCGATGGGCGCAGCTGAGGCATAGCCGGTGTAGTGGCAGGGCATTGGCCAGGCGCGGCCGAGGCAGAGGCCAGGCGTTGAGCAGGGGCGGCCGAAGCAGGACCAGATTTTGCAGCCAGTTGGTCTGACTGCATCAAGGCCGGGTTCCAAAGTAGTTTACGCAGGCGATTCTCCCTGTTCTTATGGGTCTGCTTCATAAACGCCAGACAGTGGTGGCATTTATCTGTTTTGTGCCCCTCGCCGAGGCAGAGGAGGCACAAATCATGTGGGTCCACCGGGGACATTTTGGACCCACATTCTGTGCATTTGCGGAAAGCCACTCACTGCGCCATCAAGAAGAAATAGAAAAATAGGAGACAGTAAAGAAGGATAAGATAATATTTTTGGTTTTGTTTTTTAGCGAAGAAGAACAAGAAAGGTAATATAACAAGGGAGAAAAAACTTGGAGTAATAACAATCAACATTATAACGAGAAGAATAAGAACAATAAGAACAAGAGTACGATAGTCAACGCGAGAGTCGAACAGGCACGACGCACAGCGAACGGCGGTCCTAAAAGACTGGGGGAAATGGCAGACACTCCGTTCTATATATAGTACTGAGGGGGATGGGAGCGGAGTTTTCCCGCCAAAAACCGTTAGCTTTCTAATCTTTCTGGCCTTAGGCACTGTGCAGGCACAGCGCCCATATGTGTGATACAGAGGCCATGACGAAGAGCTTTTCTTTTTGCCTTTCTCTCCCACTAGAATTCTTTGAAAGGGCTCCACAAAAAGCTTAGCATCAGTAAAGGAAGAATTTCTGAATATTGCCTGTGAAGCTGTGTTGACATCCCAGCTACACAGACAGATGTTTCACAGAGCCATTACATTGGCTGCCATAGCCCTCAACTGGGCCTGAATCACATCAGGCTGATGAACCATTTTGGAAGCAGATTCAGCACTTCCAGGTCTTGTGCCCAGATGTAACCTCTCTCCTGAGAATGTTTATTCTCAGTTGGCTTTGGCTAGCAAGATTGGGCAAAGCCAGCTAGAAAAGCCCAATGACTCTGGGGACTGAATTTGTTCGATAATCTGCCCCCCTTTTTGGGATCAGAGCCAGATGGCACATATGAGCTATCTGGGGAGAGCCTTGGATACAGATCTGCAGTGGGCTGCTCCATCTTGTGCAAGCTTCTTTATACTTGCTCCCTCTGCCAGGACACAGCCTCAACTGAGATGGGGCTGCCTAGGTGAGATGAAGATCTACTTCCATTCTTAGATTTACATGTAAACCTACCATGGGAATGGCTGCATCTGCATTGTTTCTGAATAAGCCATCCCTGTATGAAAGCACTGTATGAGGAAATGGGAGCAAAGATGAACATCTTCCTCCAAAGGGAACAACTAAATACTTCATGTACACACATTATGGCCATAAGAACTGCAACTTCCTAGCAAAATGGAATTGGTATGCAAAGGGCAACACCAGTAAACAATTTCCATTGTATGGAACATTTCACTTATATAGTGATTCCCCAGGCTCAGTGTGATGTCTATTCTAACTGGTTCCAATAAACAACCAAGTGTGCACTTGAATCCCAGGTATAGAATCTCAGTGACTCTCAAGATAAATGGAAACAACAGGTCAAAGATCTCCAGACTAAGAATTCAGGATCAAATTGCATTCCACATGCTCAGTATCCACAGTAAACCAACCTAGATACAACTAATGATGATTCAGCTGAGGATACAATGGACTTCTTTTCCAGTGTGCTTTTACTATACAATCCCACTCCATTCATTCCTCAGTCTGAGAGTTATACTTCACCAGCCTTGCCACCACCATAGCTCCCTGACAAATGGAAACCAGCAGCACCAAGGGAAATTGTACATTTCATATGCCTGGAACTACCACTTTTCACCTTAGGAAAGAACAAAAAGGACCTGAGCAATATGGACATTAGTCATTTTAAATCTCCACTTGTCAGGGAGAATACGGTGAATGTATTGCTTCAGTGCATGTACCATGGACTCAAAGTGATTTTTTGATTTTAGTCAAAGAAGGTGGAAGGGAGGGGTGGGCACCCCTAGAGACAGGAAAGCTGGACTTGGGCTGACCAGCTCAAGACAATGGCCCATGCACGTAATGGCACACAAAAAACAGCACCCCGAAACACACACACACATACACTTCTTCTATAGCCCACAATGGATGGAAAGGGGTCTCCAGTAGTACTGGCTTGCAAAATGTGTGCAAATGTTTGTGGAAGATGTATAGGAAGCTGAGCCTGGAGCCCTGTTGAGAGTATCTAAGGTCAAAATGAATGTGTCAAGGAATTTTAAAAAACATTGTATTTATTTCTTTTTATTCAATTTATACTCTGCCCCACTCTCAGTAGTCAGAGACTACTACCAACCCCCCAAACAAAGAGAAAATGAGGATGAAATTTTGTTAAGTAAATTCTCAGTATTTCAAGGAATTGTGATGTGGTAGTAATGGAGGAAGACTTCAATTACCTCAGTATCTCTACACCCTGAGACAAATTCTGCCAAAAGTGGCCCCTCCGAGAAATTCTTGACATACACGCTTGATATTTCTCTTCTACAGAAAGTGGAAGGATCTGGAAGGAATTGGGGGATCAACTGTCCTTGACTTAATACTAACAGGAATGACTTTACTGGATAAAGTAGAAGTTATGTGAGCTCTGGGGGAAAGTGATCACAACAAGTGGGGGGGGGTTCTGAAGGGGGGGCAATTAGTGTAGTGATGGGCAGAGGGAGACAACTGTGCCATGTCCCAGTCCTGCTCCTAACTGCAGGTTCTCTGGTTGCCCTATCAGCCTGCCTCCAGATGCTATTTCTGAATGCCAGATTGGTGCACAAATAGACCTCCCTCATCCATGCTTTAATAGTGGATGAGGCAGCCAGTCTGGCATGCATAACTGAGACCTGGTTGGGTGGACAGGAAGAGGTTAGTCCCTCCCGGTTCTGACCACCTGTGTACTTGGCACAGCATCAAGGTAGACTCAACCAAGGATGAAGTAAGCCTATTCTAGAGCAACTTGAAGAGGAAAAAGATGTTCCCATTCCATAGTATTTCCAGAAAGACCTAGAAGTTGGCTGAAGGGAAAAGCATACCTTTAGTGTTGCCTGCATTTGGTTGTTCAGATTCAATCCTTTACCTTCATTGTTGTGCTAGTACTGTATAGAGCAGTGGTGGTGAACCTATGGCACGTGTGCTGCAGCGGGTATGCAGAGCCCTCTCTGTCGGCATGCGAGCCAAGTCACCCCAGCATTGCCCCAGCAGCCGAGCATTGGATAACAGTGCACATAGAGGCCATGTGTATGCTTGAAAAGGAGTAGTGGTGCCAGGCAATGACATCATGAGCTGCGATTCATCAGCCATGACTCGTCCGAGCTTTTGCATGGCCAGTCAGTGCGCTGTCATTTGCTTGGACTGGCTGAGAGTTGTTTTTTCTAAACTAAAACTTCAGTATTCAGGTTTTATTGCAGTGTTGGCATTTTGCGATAAATAAGTGGGTTTTGGGTTGCAGTTTGGGCACTCAGTCTCTAAAAGGTTCACCATCACTGGTATAGAGCATCAAGTGCCAATGAACTAGATTTTAATAAGTAACCATGGCCTGAAATAGAGGGATGTTTAGAATGCAGCAAAAAGAAGAGGGCAAATGGAGGCTGACTGAGGTGGAATGACTTACCATCACAAAGGAATAGCCTATCCACAGGGAACTCCAGCCTTCCGGGCATGGTGGAATTTGAACTGTTTGACTGTGAACTGCTATCACCATAGCAGGAGCTTCACACACAGCACACCTGAGAAGAGATAACAAAAGAGCTGCAAAAATAGATGTTTATACCCCTACAATTATCTCTTCCCAATCCTTACCATTAATCACTAAGCATTCTGGCAACTGAAGAGCAACTGTTATATAGCTATTCCATTCCACTATAATCATTATCTTGTCTGGCACCATGGAGGGTGGTGAGTAAGAAGGGCCAGTGCAGAGATGGATGCAGTTTCTCAAGGTGTTTCAGCCACATGCAGGATTGGCTAGCCATTTGATCCTGAGCAGCAGCAACTAGATCATTTGCATGACAAGTTAACAAATCCACCAAGTTCTGAAGGGGGACCATTTAGAGCAGGGGTGGGCAATTAATTTTCCTATGGGGCCACATGAGAAACTTTGACAGTTGTTAAGGGCCGGACCAATACACTTACAGCTCTGCTCAATATGTATCTCTATAAAAACAGTAAATGAAACATTACAATGATACAATGAAAATGTGGAGCACAGAACAATACTATTTAATGAAAATTCACAACAACATTAACATTACATGCAAAGCAATACATTCAATTCAATTTAGCAGATCCTTCAAAATAAAAGCAGTGCAGTTGTATTGCTTGCATCTATATTATGATTATTATATTTGCATTGACTTTTAATTTGCCAGTGACCTCATGCGGGCCAGTCAGGGTCAGTCATCGGGTTGGATGTGGCCCGCGGGCCATACAATGCCCAGGTCTGATTTAGAGACTACTCTATTGTGGACTGATTGTAGCATCTTCAGGGAGCAGCCTGATGCAAGAATAAATGCCCCTGCTTCCAATAGAAATAGAAACTACAATCAGTTTCTCTAGATGTGTTGGAAGGAACAAGGCACAATTTGAAAAAGAGGTGAGCAACAATGCTGCTTTGTTTGTTACTATTAAGCAGGGCTGATGGACAGACCTTCTGGTCATGGAGATGAATTGTCACTAACTCTCAACTCTCTACAAATGCCATGGTCAAAGATAGAACAAACATAAATCCATTTTAAGTTTTTTTCTTAAACAAGATGAGTAGATTATTAAAAAGACAGAAAATCATTTTTTAAAAATATAGTGCAAATTTAAGTATAGAGAATTTATGCCAACAACTTCACCAATAATTCCTGTTACAGAAATTAGAGGATTCCCAGAAAACTTGTGAGATATTTTGAGAAATGTATTAAAAGAAAAAGAAATACTTTGTGTAAAGGATTGGAGAAAATGGAAATAAGGAAAGGATAATGGTATAATTAAGGGGGGAAAGTTAACTTGGTTTAATATTATGCAATTAGAACAATGAACTAAAGAATGGTTGAAGAAAAATGGCTAATGTAGAGATCTTACTAAATTTGAGGAGATTGCATTGTGCAGAAAGACTCAAGGTAGTATGCAAATAAGGGGGATTTTAAGTCAGATTTCTAAGATTTTATTAGACAGGGAGGAGTTACATGATCTTCTTAAAATCTCATGGGAAATGAGTTAAGTTCCCTTAACTCCATTAAGTCTTAACTATTGATAAGGAAGAATGGGGAACAATATGGGATAAGAGAATACTAAAAGTATGTCAATTAGAATTAAGGAATGTTTTTAATAAATTTGTATGGAAATGGTATTTGAAGCTGGTAAAATTATTTTGTATGGATAATAAATATTCTAGATTATGTTGGAATGTGGGCAAAAATGGGTACCTATTTCCATATGTGGTGGGATTGTGAAAAGATTAAGAAATTTTGGATAATTTTTTTAAAAGAGATTAGTAAGAGACTGAATTTAAATTCCAAAATAGCATTACTAGTAATATTTTAGGACAAGAAATGGAAATGGAACATTAAAGAATTAATAATAAATTTGGTAACAGCAGCAAAATTGATAATAGCAAAGAACTGGAAGAAGAAACGGGATCTTCATTTAATTGAATGGTATAAAGAAATTTGGAATATAGGTGTTGATAACAGGGATTAGGGTGAAAAACGGCCTAATGAAGAAGAATGATTTTAATGATATGTTTCATTTATTGACTATGTGTTGAATAAGGGAAGAGTACTAAACATTCAGTACATTTTGGATGGGAGTACTCCTGAAAGAGCGGAAAGTTAGAAGTAGAAGTAAAGAAAATGAAAGAAATATGGGTATATATATATATATTATATAGCTGTGGGGTGCACTAGCTGTATTTAGTTTTGTTTTCTATATATAGTTTTTTTCTATATTTGTGTAGTTTTTCTTAATTTTTATGAGATATACTTGTATTTTTTTAATTATGGGGAAAAACAAGTAAGCACGGCTGATCACAGAGGACAGGGCAGCTGTTCCTTATGGAAAGGAGATGCCACCCTGTATGAAACTCTTTGTGTTTCAATTAGAGGTAGACTACCTGTATCAGAAAATTATGTTGTCACTGTGGTAAGCATGGAATGGTATACATGGTTAAAAATCTCATTCCAAAATTATATGGACCCATAAGATCAATCACAGCATTTCCATCTGTTTACAGTTTTGTTCATTACTGAGTACCCAAAAGGTCTCCAAGCATTTCTGTGACAAATCTGCTTTTTTTTGTTGTTTGTTTTTATAAATTATGTTGGCATGAAAAACTCTCATTTAACCCATGGAATGCTCTCAATGGGGGGAAATGGTATTCCAAGCTTTTGAGAAAGGTCTGAGAAACAGGGATATCCACTGACTTTAGGGAGACAGTGCTAGATGTTGGCCCTACCCACTGACATGAGGATGAGAGGTCTCCCAAAGGAAAATGCACGAGGAGATTACAGTGTTCTAGCTTAGCTTTAGGAGTGCTGTTCTGAACCTACATCCCAGCCCAGGGCATCCTTGAGGAAAATATAGGAGAGGGAAACCTTCTATGAGTCCATAATGTTGCAGCCAAAACAGTGCTTCCAAACCTAAGTCCTGACAACCCAGAGGAAAAACAGGGAATATATGTACTGGTTCTCAAGGTAGCACTGGTAAGAACAAGCATTCTGCCTAGCCCCCTGGAGAAGGGAAAGTGAGGAGTAGAGTGTTTGACAGAAAGTTAATGGTATCTGAAGAGGAACAACCACTCACTGAAAGAATCTGTGCGTATCTGTGACCCTGACAAATAGTGGAGATTGTGACCATAGGAATACCACAAAAAAACCTTACCCAGTGTGAGCTCTCATTGGCTGGGGAGGGATGGTAGGAGAAAGAACACATTTAGCATGTTTGTTGGACACACTAGAGTACTAACAGTCCTTGCTCTCTAGTGCTATGTAGAGATAGGCTGGGAGATCAAGAACTCCACTGCAGGAGAAGCCAAACAGCAAACTGGCCCTGCATCCATATGTGACAGGAGAGGCAATCCCAAAAGATGAAGAAAACTCCCTTGTTTCTACCAGAGAATATCAGATAATTTTCCCTTGAGGAATGATCAGTTCTATAGCTATCTGAATTTTAGTAATCAATTGGGAATATGCTTCCTAATAATGGACAAATTTGTCTATTTCTGGTGCATATTGCTTTTGCCTGTTTTTACTTGTATTTGTTCCAGTTCTACTCTAATCTACAATCCTCTCAGAAGATATGTTTATATGCATATTTTCATAGGTTTATACTACTAAGATCTGTACTGTAGCATTTGGAGAAATGCAAGATCTGATGTGTAGTCAAATTATGCACATTCACCCGAGAGGTGCTGTTTAGGTCATTTCATACAGGAATTCACAAAGATATAATTCCCCAAGCAGTTCTAATGCTTACCTACTGATGAAAGGCTGGATGTTGTCTCCTGTAATGGGTGCCATGCTCATTGGCATTGGCTCAGGAGTAGACAACCAGTAAGAATAATCATTTCTTGAGGCAAAATTGCAGACGTTGTTAATGTTACAGAACAGAAAGGGCATTGTGCTGAATTTACGTAGACAGCTTCCCGCTGTGCCTGAAAGAGCAAAAATTAAAATCCAATGCAATTTATATAGTAACATTTGAACAATGATATATTTTGTACCTGTAATTGGTCCAGTCCCTCAAGCATCCATAAAGTACTCAAGAGGTTTCAGAGGCAGCTAAGTAAACACAACGTTTCTGTGAAGTGGAAGTGGAAAGGAGGGCAGTGGAAGGTTCTCCTCAGTTGAACTCAACCCCACTCCTCCTCTATCTTGAAGGATAAGATCTGAGTCAAAAGAGGTTGGGGAAAGTGGAAGATGATAGTTGGATGGGAAATGACACAAAGAGCATATATTCCCACTTGGAAAAACTATATGAGACATAACTTCCGTGATTTCCACCAAGCAATGAGCTGCACGGTGTCATATGCAGCTGTGGGGAGACCCAGGCATGCCAAAGAAAAGCCAAATGCTGTCTCTGCTGTCTATTACCATCTTGCTTTCTTCAATAAGAGTATTTTCATTATCCTTAAAGATGGGGGATGGTTGGGGTATGAGTCAGTTCTCACTATTATTTGCCTTAGACTCCCTTCTTGAAAACATCAGGCAAAGGTATCTGTCCTTATTGCTGTCCTTCCAGTGATCCACCTGCCTTCTTAACTGTTTTCCTGCTTCTGATTTAAACATATGTTTATTGTTTGACATGATGTTATGATGAGCTCTTCAAAATGCCCCTTTGCATCTTAGTTCTATCTTCTTTGTGGAATCTTGTGCTCCAAAATTTTCTCTTGTTTTCTCTTTTGGGTGAAACTTCCACAGAAATCTGGAAGGTAAGTAATGCAAGCTTCAAAGAGCAAGTTCAAGGGTAGGAATGAAACCTGTCAATACTCATTTCAAGTCCAAGGAAGAAGCAAATGAACTGGGGGAAAGGGGGAATTTGAAATAGCCAACTCCTCTCAGAATATCTGCTAAGAAGACAAGAACAGATAAGAATAGACAGACCTCTTCTCTATATTTTTATTAACAACTTTTGTTTATGAAGTTCTGAATGCTACTACTTCAAAGGTGCCTCTCACCTTTGGATTTATCCCTTGGGCTCACTCTTGCTATCTACAGAAATAACTGGCAGAAAAGTGAGTGCTGTCAACCTGAGCACTCACAATGGGGATACTGAGATGCTCCATAACAGGGTGGGGGGAGGAATGAAGTTTCTCAGCAAATTTGTGGGTAGCTCTGACCTTGCTGGGGTGGCTCATCTGCCTCCCAAACTTCTTTGAAGAATTCAGGAAAAGGCACAGTAAAAGGGTATGGGTGGCCCTGAAAGAACCATTGTTTTTTCACTGGTCTTAGAAACTGAAAGGATAGAGTCATCTGGCTTGGCCTGACTAAAATTCATTTTTAATATTCAGCAGGCTTTAACACCAGTTAAAGGAAAAACCTGGAGAAAAGACACACCCGTTCTTGAGTGAATTCTATCTCTTCTTCAGAGGATTTCCCTAACACATTATCTTTGCTTGAGGTGTTGTTTTAACTAAGAACAAGTTTAGTTCTGGGCTAAGATTTTCTAGGCTTCTCTCCTCTCTTGTCCCAGACCATAGCTAACTTGATCTTTGCCTGCTGATTGTGCACTGTGGAGTGGCAGTGAAGTGACCGGGTCAGAATAATCAGGGCACAAGAAGAAAGAATGACAGCCTGAGGAAATGTTCTTAAAAGGGAAATTATATCATCTCCCTGCATATTTGCTTGGACTACACCTGCTACTGGGTTTGTTTTTCTTGCTTTTTTTTTTTTGCTTATTTGGGGATCTAAATCTTTCTCTTTTGATGAAATCCCTTTAACACATTTGATTCCAAAACTGAAGGATCGCTTCCTGGCTGAGTGATCTTCCCAAGTATTTGGGTATTTGCTGAAAGCTTGTGCAGTGTTTAACGAACCTGCTGTGGTTGTCTTCCACTGTAACGGTCACTCTTGCCAGACCTTGCATGGACTTCTGTTCACTGGATTCCCAATGAAATATGATGGCACATGTACCCCCTTCCCCTGTGACATGTATATAGCATTACTGTGGCAAAATGCCAGACCTCTCATCTCTGTTATGAGTTATAATCAATTTATGCTCCTCCCAGCTTCTGAATTGAATCAGGATTGTACCAGGTATGTTCCCAACTCAGACAGACTGGCATATATCATGAGAACAACCTGCATCAGAACCTGTAGCCTGATCATTACAGTAGATTCATGTGAAATCAACAGGCAAACTTTCCTATGATCTGCTGTGGCTTGTATTCCATTTGGTTATCTTATCTATATAGGGCAGGTCTGACCAATATGGGGATCCTTCCCAAAAAGGGTCAGTTATTAAGACAGACATGCCTACTAACTAATGTGAGGGGATATCACAGAGGGTGATGACCGTCTTCCCATAAACATAAACTTTCATGGAAAAGCAAGGGGTCTTGGCCTGGAGTTTCACAACATTCACAACAATGTTCATATTTTGAGAATGGAAAATAATAACATCTAGGTCATCACTTATACAAAATGATTTCTTTCAAATTATGAATTATGATGTTATATTTTGTATATCCATGCAGTATGGGGGAAGGACAAGCGTAGGGAGGCTGTATTGACCTCAGCATCCCACTTGTTTTCTGAGTTTTAAATGAATAGTTGATATCTCTGTTTGTCTGCTTTTGGTGGTTGTAGCAACTGGTAAAACTTGGTAGAAGTGGGTTGCTGGTTACCATTTTGCTTTGACTTAAGGAAGCTGATTACAACAAAAATGTTAGCCTGTAAGATAAACTGCAAAACATGTTCATCTGACTGGATTTGATCTGTGCTTCCTTACCCAAGTCCTGGCCATGGGCCCGTTCATTTCCTTGTATATAAAGCAAAGAATACCCATAGAACATTAGCCTTGTCCCAGATGGACATGATGGTTCTTCTGTGGTCTGGCTGTGCCTGGTTACAAGGAACCCGTGAGCTACAGAAGGACTGCCAGCTGGACCCATTAATCCTGGCATTCCCTCAGGACCAGGTGGGCCAGGAAAGCCTCTAGGACCTGCAAGATAGAAATTGACTTTAACAAACCAAGTAGGCATTGTGACTCCTTGCTTGCCTTCAAAGGGTTTCCCCTCACTAAATCTGCCCAGTCATTCATTTCTGGAAGGGCTTATTTGCTGAATATGGAAAAGTGCACAGATGCATTTAAGAAAAAAGCACTGCAATCATAACATAATTTATTTTAAACACTTTGACTGCAATGTTTTGTACACTCTCCAGTTAGTTCCAGAGAATACAATCAGGCTCACTTCCAAGTAAACATGTATGATGCTGCATGGCTGACAACCTATACCTGCTAACATGAGAACAAGCCCTTCTGAACTGTTATAAACTGTTCTGAGAGCTTCTGTTATTTGGTTGCATGGAAATGAATAAATTAATAAATTAATACACTGTAATATTACTATGACATTCATTTTAATATTTAATACAGAATTACTATATTTCTAATTACTAATTTGAAACTTCTGAATTAAACTATAAGATAATTTACCTATTAAAGATACATTTTCAAGATACATTCACAGTAACAAATAAGACCTGTTCTTCATTGTCATTTGCCACAAATGAAGTTTTCATGAACTCTTAAGCCAAATACATTAAAAAAACCAAAGAATAGAAGGCATTTACACTTGCACATTTTATTTATTTAAGATATTTATATTCCATTCTTAATCCATACAGGATCTCAGGATGGTTTACATAAAGACAAGAAAACAACAAAGAACAAGTTACCAGTTCAAGGTTGAAGGCAGAGGAGATGTTCAGGCTGATATTTCACAAAGAGGTAGCACAGTCCACAAAACAGTCCAGGGGTCAAATACCAAGAGCAGGTGAGGGTAGGGACGAGGATGCAGGTGCAGGCAGGAACACATTGGATCAAGGTGGGTACACACTGGAGCAAGGCAGGAACATACCAGGGCAAGGCAAGAACAAATGAAGGCCAAGCAGGAACACACAGGAGCAGGACCAAACACGAGCAAGGCATGAACAAACTGGAACAAGCAGGAGCATGGTGATGCAGAGGGCCAGAGCACAAGAGAGTCATGCAGACAACTTGCATTGCTGTGGCTGAGAGCAACAGTGCCAGGAAACCTCTGATGTTTGTCTCCAGGGCCTCCAGCTGCACTGCATAATTGCTCCTCAGCTGTTCCTTTAAAGTGCCTGCAAAAGTGCTCCAGCTTCTGCAGGCACTTGCAGGGCCACTGATCCTGACACAGGTCAAGTGTGTGGGCCAGTGCCGAGCTGAGACAGCCCCATGGTGGCATCCCTGACACCACATGGAAGTTGAAATCTCCCACAACCACCATTTCAGAGGCTTTCAACACCATGCCCAAGAGTCAGCTCCACCAGGACTCTGTTGAGCAGCAGGGTGGGCTGTACAGCAACAGAATCCCTGATCTGTCTCGATCACCCAGCACAAGGTACTCCAGGTAGGTAATGTATTACTTTCAGCCCTCCTGGAGAGGAGATTCAGAGAGGCACTGAATTTTAGCAAATTGTCCTTTTGGTTTAGAAGAAATCAAACTAGTAATTATTGGTTATAATTGGTTTATGTCTGAATATTATTTTGTATCATTTCATCATTTAACATTTTGTGAGTTTTACTGTTTTTATCTATTTATGGTATCTTTATCTGCTGATGCAGCATTTTGTAAGCTGTCCAGAGAACCCGCGGGTTATGGGATGACATAGAAGTAGAATGAAATAGACAGACAGACATAATCGACATTCTTTCTGAATAAATTAAATGAAGGTCTGATCTTGGTTTGTTAGAGACTCTGTTACACTTTAAATTCAGAGGCATTTTATTTACCTAATGACAGAAATCCTAGTGCTTTCTACCCATGCCATTTCTATTAGATCACACTGGACTCTGTATGTATGTATGTGTGTGTGTTTGTATGTATGTGTAATTTCATGAAAATCAGAATATTCACTTGTGCAATGTTGTTGTACAGCTCCATATGTATGATTCACTGTACAGTTGATCTGTATACCAGATGCATGCTGACCATGTTACAGAATTTGGACTGAGGTCCAGCACAATGTAAGTACATCAAAGGCTGTCACAAAGAGAAAGCTCAAGATTTCTTCTCACTGATACCAGAGTGCAGGACACGGAATAATCAGTTCAAGCTGTGACAAGCCAGATTCAGGCTAGACATCAGGAAAAGTTTCCTCATGTGGAACTAGTTGCCTGGAGAGGTGGTGGGCTCTCCCACACTAGAGACATTCAAGGCAAAACTAGACAGCCATCTGAGTGGAATGGTGTAAATTGGTATCCTGCAACAGCAGGGGATTGCCCCCCACCCCGCATGCCCTTCATGGTGTTCTAATTGTTAATATCACCATTTGGCTCTTGTAGATTGTCAGTAACTATTTGTCTTTATCCATAACAATGTGCCTGCCTTTTAATATTCAAAATATTTATTAAGCACCTCCTGCTACTGGAGATAAAAAACATACTCTAACGTTAACTTTCTTTTGGATTTACCCTTCCACCATAGAAAGGATAAGCCCTGTTAAGAGCAACAGATCATTAAAGATGTTGACTAATTTCAGCCCATGACTGTGAGCAGTAACTGACAATTTTGCACATACAGTATTAATGTAATGCAAATTAGTTAAAATAGTAATTCTCCCTGTAGTTTGTTGCTTCATTTGCTGGAAGTGAAACTGGGGGAGGGGCATGGAAATACTCTTACCAGGCAAAAAATGGTTTCCCCTTGTTGTCAGCAGCCACACGGCTATTTCTTTTTTCATTAACTAGGTGCTTTTGACTACTCTTATAATTAATTTTACAAGAACTTTCCACTGCAGTGAACACATTCCCCACCTCCTGCATGCAAATACTCCAGGCTTTTAACTTCTGAGAAACAAAACAGCTGCCCCCACAGTCAAACAATGAAAAGATCTATAACTAATTCTCCTACTAAAGGTAAGCTCTCTCAGGAGCATTCATTTTCCTCTGAAATTGTTCCCTTGGTTCACTTCCCTTTGCTGAATCCCAAGTCAGAAGTTCTCCTCATGTGAGGCTCAGCTATTCTCCATACAGAATATAGATTATCCTGGCAAAGGAAAAAGATTGGACTTGCCTGGGGGACCAAAAGGGCCAGTTGCTCCTTTCTGACCAGGTGTTCCATCAAATCCAGGAATGCCTGGAGGACCAGTCAAACCCACAGCTCCTGTTACACCTGTTGAAATTAAGACATGACATTATGATTTATTTATAGTCTTTCTATCACTTGCAATTAGATACATAACTGGCAGCATGGTCTTTAATCAAGTAAATCAGGGCTCTCAACATATGAGGGCACAAGAGGCAAAAATTCTTCCTTAATTCACTCAAAATCTTCTACTTATACCAAAGGATAAAATGCTCTTGCCAGTATAAGTCCTCTGCACTAGTATATCTCAAATATACACCAATGTAGATTCTTCCAAATGTGTATCTCCAGAATTAAACTGGTGTACCATTACACTCTCCTTCATGGATCTCTGCCTTGTCGTGGTGAAGGGGCTTGCGTAGCTCAATGAAGCTATGAGCTACGCCGTGCAGGGCCACCCAAGAAGGACAGGTCATAGCAGAGAGCTCTGACAAAACGTGATCCACTGGAGAAGGAAATGGCAGCCCACTCTAGTATCTTTGCCATGAAAACCCCATGGACAGTACCAAAAGGCAAAAAGATATGACGCCGGAAGATGAGCCCCTCAGGTCGGAAGGTGTCCAATATGCTACTGGGGAAGAGCAGAGGGCTAGTACTAGTAGCGTCAGAAAGAATGAAGCGACTGAGTCAAAGCCAAATGTATACCCTTCTTAGACCATAAGATTCCTTCCAGCAGTCCTTTCCAGGGAGACCATCTCCAAGGAAGTGAAGACTTTTCCTGTTTTGGCATCCCAATTGGGGAATGCATGCCCCAGAGATACTTTTCTGGCAGTTATACTGTGCTCTTCTTGGTGTCAGAATTTCCTCAGACATTTTAGCCTTTCAGTTTCTGTTTTAAATCTGGTACTGTTGGTCAAATTTTGCTCTGCTGCTAGGTTCAATTAGTTTATTATTATTATTTTATAATCTCATTTAAATGTTGAAGGTTTAATCGTTCTGAAATGCCCAGACAGCTTCAGCTATTGTGCAATACAAAAATATAACAAATAAATACATTGTACTCAGCATGGGGTCAAAGTCCATTTGTTTGCCTGGACATTTAAACTGATTTACAAAGCTACATGTTTTACATATCTTCTACCATTTGTTGTGTTTATATGAAGATTTTTACAAATGTGCATGCACACACAGAGCTTTTTGTAAACCACCCTTGTGCCATGAGAAAGGGTACCATGTAAATATTTTAAATAAGTATTTAATGTATGCCAGCAATGTTTCTGTGGTCACTAGGTGAGTGGCTGCTAATGCAGCTATATTCTTTTTGTTGTACTAAGAATACAGAGAGCCAATATAGAGAGGAGTGGTTAAGGTACAGGACTGGGACACAGGTGATCTGGGTTCTAGTCCCTGTTCAGCCATGCAGCCAAATTTGGGCTTTGGCCCAGTCACAGAATCTCAGCCCAACCTACCTCACTGGGATGTTGTTGGGATAAGATTGAGAACAGAAGGGGGAGAATTATGTATGCCACTTTGAGTTCTTTATTAGAGATTCCTAACATGCATTGCTGATATCTTCCACCAGCAGAAAGTAGAGAAAATAATGAGGGGATAGGTTATCCTTGGCTTTATACTAACCAACAGGGAAGACCTAGTTGACAATGTAGCAGCCATGGGAACCCTGAGGGAAAGTGACCATGCCATACTTGAATTCTCAATTATTAAGGAGGCAAAAGTCTCCTTAACATGTACCTTAAATATCAAGAAAGCAAATTTTAACAAAATCAGAGCAATGACAGGCAAAGTCCCACAGCAATGCACTCTAAAGGGGGTGGGGTGGGAGGGAGAGAGAATGAGAGAGTGAGTTGAAGGCCTTGTTTACCAGGCCAGGAAAATCTGTCAATTGCTGTGGCGCTCTAGCAGATGATGAAATCAATGCTTTGGAAATGTCCAGGAACTGTGTTGTTGTGCTCTTTCTCACACAGGTTGCCACTGGATAGGGTTACAGGAAATGAATCAACAATGGTGTGGGACATACCAACATATCCTTCCAGTGTACAAATGATCACAATTTTTATATAAGTGCAACCATGCATCCAGATAAGCACATGAACTAGATTCTTCTTGCCATTTATAGTAAAATATCTTTACAGAAAGTATGGTACCACAAAAAAGTATCCTCCTCCAGCTTATACAAGATGGCAACTGATAACCACTCTACCGAGAGAATTATCATGAAAGCCAACACCATCTAAAAACAGACTTATTGTTTAAAAGAAAAGAAAATACATATTAAAAGATTCTTGGTTGGACTGGAGTTTCAGAAGTATGCCAAGCAGAATTATAGAATCTACACAGAAGATGCATTTAAAAACAACAACAACAAAAATCCTCAGACAATCTTCTCACCTTGTTGTCCTTTTGGTCCTGGAGGCCCAGGAAGTCCTTTGGGGCCAACTGGGCCTACAAGACCAGGTAAACCTGGTTCACCTTTCAGAAGCTGGAAAGGGCCTGGAGGCCCTGGTGGTCCAGGGAAACCTGCAGAGATAAAGATGGAAATAAAATAAGACCATGTTTACTGATGGTTGTAATCAAAGATCACACAGAATTAAACTGAATCAGCAAAAAGAAAGAAAGAGGAAGGAAGAGATTCTGGTTATTTTTGCTAGTTGACATCAGTACAAACTAGTTTAAACATAACCGAACTGAAACTAAAATGTACAATGCTTACCTTTAGCACCAGGTAGTCCCTGATCACCTTGTTCTCCTTTGAGTCCCTGGAACCCTGGAGAACCTTTTAGGCCTAGAGAGAAAGGAAAATGCCATTCTTACTATATAAAGCACCTTATTTAGTTTTAGTTCATCTACCAAAATATGGACCTAGTTCCATACTTTTAATGTTTTCCTTTATTCACTTTTCTGTATAAATAAATTGCATAGTCCCCTATTCAATATTTACTATCCCATTATTTTAGATAATTTATGACAGGTACTTTACCTGATTGTTCTTAATTGCTCAACCAAGAAGTGTATACTATCTATTTTTATTAATTACATAAAATACAAATTTTGTGATGCCTCTATAAATTACATGAATTGCAGTCTGAATTATGTTAATAATCAGCTTGGTCAAAGCCTTCCAATACAGAGGGTGTAGTGAGATGAGAGGGAAAGTGGAGTGAGCCCTGAAGATCTCCAGCAGTAGTGACCTGTTAAGCATGTTCAATGTTGTGAGACTTCCTGAGACTAACATGGGATATACTAGGGTTTAGACAAATCCTTTCGGAATCTGTTCATCCAGAATCTAAAGACTTCCTCTCATGCTTTACATTTGAATATGATTTCATAGTGTATTATGCCATTTTAATTATTTGAAAGCTGTTCTAAGAGCATATGCTGAAGAGAACAGTTTATAAAAACGTTGAGTGAATGGATGAATGTTCGGCATAGTCCTGTAAAGTGAGCTGAGCCAAGAGGAGGTTCACATAGACTCACGGAACCCTGGTTGTGCAACTGGCAAACTTCCCCAGCTGTCATTTCCAATGGCCAACCTTCTTCCCCACTCATTGCTCCCATTAATAGTAGCAGGTGCAGAAAAATGATGCTGTTTGCAGTGTGTGGGACTCAATTTCTGGTAGGTGCCTGGCAAACCTGAGGCACATTCACCAGGCACTCAGACTGTGCCACTGAAAAGTTGCCTGGAGTCGGCTTCCAGGGAATGGCAACTTGAAGCAGCAGCGAAGATGCTGTTCTCTGCCTTATCTCATCTAGATGATTATAAATTGTCTAAAGGGTTTTTTTTACCTCTCTAAATGACAGGTAGGCTTGAAGACTTTTGGTCTGCAGCTCTGATTACACTGAAATGGCCAGATAAGGTAAACCGGAACAAGTTAAAAAGGTGTGCTCCCCCTTTACTCCTTTTTCTTTACTTTTCTTTTTGTTTTTTATCTTTTACTAGTTCTTTTTATATTATATCATCTTCTTTGCCAAGGGAATAATATTCTAACCTGCTGCAACTTAGACTCTTAAAGAATTTTTGTTTGCAAATTTTGAAAGCACTCTGAAACAGATGGTCTTTTGATGATTGATGATGCCTCATTTGTAAAGCTGTTTAGAACTAAGAATTACAAACAGTGTAAACTGACCTTGGCATGAGACCTTGGTAGGCCACCTTTCCCTCAGTTAAGAAAACAAATATTGCACAAATGTTGCAGGTCACTGCCACTGCTGAGCGTCCATTCTTTGTGCTACCTTTGTGATTCTGTCTTGGGGGACCATTGTGACAACTGGTGCTTTCTTCTGTCTTCACTTAAGGTTAACAACACAGATCTACCAGTGAATGGGATTGTGTAACAAGAAAGAAAGCAAGTGGGTGGGGAGAACTCAGGGGACAAAAAGAAGAGAAACGAGTGGGCGGGGGGGAGGTTGGTGGCAGAGTTCATCAGAGGAGGTCTCCAAACTCCTGTTTGCTAGTGCAGGTCCCTCACTACTTTGCCTCTGCTTCTGTCTGCCTCTCTCCTCTTCCTCTACAACTCTGCCACCAAACTCCTATGGTGGGAGTTTTTTTACAAGGTAATTTTAAAGGTTTTTCTACAAACAATTCCAGCAAAAGCAGAAGATAGAAGACAACAAAAGAAACCAATGTGGCTCCACAAATTGCTTTGAGTTACAGTAAAAAAAACTTGACATGTACAGGAAGTGGAAGGAAGACCAGGCCACAAATGAAGCACAGGTAGCACAAAAGTGCAGCATTGGCATCAGGCAGGATAAAGCTGAGAATGAGCTTCAGGAGATGTTAAAATGAACAAACTCACTTTTTTCAGGTGTGGCAAAAGAGATAAAAGAAAGGGAGGTTCAGCTTCTTAAAGAGGAGGGCTATATGGAATACCCCTTCATAGATCACTGTCTTGCTGTGGTAAAGGGGCTTCTGTAGAGCAATGAAGCTATGAGTTATGCTATGCAGGGGCACCCAAGATGGACAGGTCATAGTGGAGAGGTCTGACAAAAGGTGATCCACTGCAGAAGGAAATGGCAACCCACTCCAGTATCCTTACCATGAAAACCCCATGGACAGTATCAAAAGGCTAAAAGATAATGACACTGGAAGATGATCCCCTCAGATCAGAAGGTGTTCAATGTACTACTGGAGAAGAGCAGAAAGCAAGTAAAAGTAGCATCAGAAAGAGTGAAATGACAGGGCCAAAGCCAAAAGGACACTCAGTTGTGGATATATCTGGTGATGAAAGGAAAGTCTGATGCTGTAAAGAACAATATTGCATAGGAACCTGGAATGTAAGATATACATTCCAGGAATATATGGAATAAGGTGCTCCCTAAGATAATGTAGTCCCAAGCTGATTAGGGCTGAATTCAGTCCAGACAGTGAAGCTGTAGAGGGAGAGGTGTAATATGTTTGTAAAAATTAGTCAGCAACTGCACTGCTCTGTTCTTGATCATTTGAAGAGTCTGGAGTGTTTTCAAGGAAAGTCCCACATAGGGTGCATTGCAGTAGTCCAATCTGGAGGTTACCAGTGCATGAATAACTGTGGCAAGACTACCCTCATCCAAGTAGGAGTGCAATTGGTAAATCAGTCAAAGCTGATAAAAGGCACTCCTGGCAATTGAGTCCACCTGGGCCACCAAGGAGAGCTTGGGATCCAGGAGCACCCCCAGAATATGAACTTTATCTTCTAGGGGAAGTGCAACCCCATCTAGGACAGGTTTATAATCTCCCAGTTGGAATGGAGGCTTGCTCACCAACAGTACTTCCATCTTGTCAGGATTGAGCTTGAGCTTATTGGCCCTCATCCAATCCATTACTGAGTCCTGACACCGGTTCAGCGTAGAGCCTGCCACACCTGGGTCAGATGAAAACCAGAGGCAGAACTGAGTATCACCAGAATATTGATGACACTTCAGCCCAAACCTCCTGATGACCTCTCCCAGAAGTTTCATGTAGATGTTAAAAATTATGGGGGATAAAATCAAACCATGTGGTACTCCATGACATAAATGTCATGGTGCAGAGCAGTAAACCTCCAGTACCACCATCTGGAGCCAGAGCAATGCAGTGCCCCTGATTTCCCACCTGCTCTGGAAGAATACTGTGATTGATGGTACTGAAAACTACTGAGAGGTCCAGGAGAATCAACAGGGTCACTTTCCCCTTGACTCTGCTGGCAAAAATCATCTCTCTTCATCAAGTAGCTAATTTTGGGAGGACTGATTTTGTTATTGGTGCTATGTTGCACATCTAATTAATAATGTGGTATTATTAAAGAGACATTTAATTTCCTCCCTTCCCCATTCCATTTTTATTCTGTATCATGTCTTTTAGATTTCAAACCTGTGGACAGGGACTTTATTTTTTATTGATTATTTGTAGGAACTTTTGACTGAGGAGTGGCCTTTATATAAGTAAATAAATAATAGAATTATTTTATATCATATTTTAAAGGTCATTATAACAAAATGCTATTTCAGCATTATCATGGTAATAATCAGAGGACACTATAACTGCATGTCGTCATACCTTGAGGACCTGGAATTCCAGGAGGTCCCATGTCACCTTTTTGGCCAGCAGCTCCAGGGAAGCCAGCATTACCCTGCACAAAACAAAAGTCTTCAGTTCTGGCATACAATGGCTTTGAACAAGAGTTATGCATATATGCATAGATAATTAGTAAAATCAGTGATTAGTCAAACAGCTATTAACATGGCAGCTCAAAAAGTGGCAGCTAGAAAGAAAATGAAAAAAGGGACATAATATACTAAAGGAATTAACATTCTGCACACAGCTGGGTGACATTTATTTATTTTATTTTAAGTTTTTATATGCCGTCCAATACTAAAAGTTTTTGTTATTTGTTGTATCATAGCACAGTATATGAGAACAAGATGAGAGCAACTGAATTCCGGGGCATCTTGGATGATAACTGATTATTTGGACGCTTTTGACTTCCAGATCAGTTTTGGGATACAGAAAGAATGGTGGTCTTCAGGCTGAAAAGTGACTTCATATCAGCTGATCGTATCAGCTTGTACTTGCAGGGTTATTCAAATAGCTTTGTGTATATATATGAATGGAGAAAATGCACGCCCATTTTCAGATTCTTGATCAGGAAAGACAGACACAATATATTGGATAATACTATCTCTGGAATTAAAAAAAACCTGCCTGCTTATCAACTAAGTGTGTGAACAGGCTAAAAACAAATAAAAGCTCTTCTCAAAAAAAGAGGACAAGAGGGGAAATGATGACATCATTGGACTAGGATGGTTTCTTAAGTTGGAGCTCTTATCTATATCTAAAAGATAATCCAGGAAAATGAATGCAAATGGTGGCAATATTAACAGGAGAGTTTAAGGAAATGCAACAGCATCAAATAAAGATAGTCCTTTTTTACCTTACAAATGGAGGGGCACAGTTTTATACAGGTTAGTTTCTTAGAAAACTAACTAAATGTGAAACTAACCAAGTGAATCATAGAAATGGTCAAAGTTAACAGCAAGAGTTGTTAAAAATCAATGCGGCAAATCATTTGCAGGGCACATGGAGCCCAGCCTTAGGGGAGGAAGGTATTCTGCTGAAAAAAAAGATAAATGAACTGATTATGCTGACAAAAGGATTAAGTGAAAACCTGAGGGGAACAATAAGGGAAACAAATAAGGGAGTAGGGTCTTGAAAATGTGGTAAACTTGAGTGGTCCTTCACGTGATCAGTTTAGGTGGATGGGATAGGCTGTAACCCCAAAGGACCCTATCCAATAGGGTCTGAGGGCTGGATACAGGGATAAAATGGGGTAATTCAAGCTGATTGTGTGTGCCTACCTGTAGGATACACCCCCTTTTGCAGAAGTGATTCTTTTAATAAATTAATGCTGCTTGAATTTGTCGTTGTCAGAATAAAATTTTCTAGGAGTGTTGCTCACACCACCATCACTTGTGTTGAACAGACCATGGACAGCACTGAAATGCTGGTAAGAAGTGGCATTGGCATTAAATGTTTCTCTACTCTGGTTGGTCTTTTAGTTCTAATTTTAAAATACATGCCATGTCATTAAACATAATCACCTGGCACATTTTGAGGGCTGGGCACACCGAACAAATGCTGACAGGTCATCATCCAATTGTAAGGGGCTAAATAGGAGATACACCTGCCAGCAAAAGACAAAACACTTGATAAATAGAGACTGGATGGACGAAATTAAATTTATGCTAGTGGTGACTCAAAGTAATCACTGTCTCAGTGCTGACCAGTCTGCTGATAGTACTCTTCTGGACTACTATGTCCAGTTCTGGGCATCACAGTTTAAGAAAGATGCAGACAAGAGCTGGAAAGTGTTCAGAGGAGGGCAACATGGCTGATCCAGGGACTGGAAGCAAAGCCCTGTGAGGAGAGATGGAAAGAACTCGGCATGTTGAGCCTTTTGAAGAGAAGACTGAGGGGAGATATGAGAAGAGCCTACAAATACCTAAAAGCCCACTACAGAGGAGGAGGCAGGATCTCTTTTTAATCATCCAAGAGTGCAGGACATGGAATAACAGGCTCAAATTACAGGAAGGCAGATTACAGCTGAACTGCAGGAAGAACTTCCTATTAGAGCAGTACAACAATGGAAAGAATTACCCACGGAGGTTGTGGGCTACCCACACTAAAGGCATTCCAGATGCAACTGGATAGCCATCTGAGAGGGATGGTCTGACTTGGTATCTTACACTGACCAGGGGATTGGACCCAGTGACCCTCTAGCCCTTTCTAACTCTGCTATGATTCTCTAGGTATGTTACTGTGTACAAGATCAAGAGTTTTTTTCAGCTCAGTTTGAGTTTTCATTGATAAAGATACAGCTAATTATTTCTTGACATTATACAAGTTTTAGTATCTCTCCAGTTCCTCCTGTACTTTCTGGATGTCCATGTCCCCACTGCAAGTAGCAAAGATTAATGCAATCTCCGTGTTCAGCTTGCGGGCTTTTCGTAGCAAGTCCATACAAATCCTTTTTCTAATACAGTCTTAATGAAGTTTTTATTTTCCTTTCTAAATACACTTCTTTTAAATTAGACTGGAAGCACCTTTTCTGCTATGTGCTTTACAGACTTTTATAAGCTCTACTTCTACAATAGTGAGAAAGATATTAAGTTTCAACAGGTACTGTAGTGAACTTTTCCATTAAGTCAAAAAATGAGGATTGTTTCTCCTTAAGCAATTGCAAGGCCTTCTAGCCTTCATCTTGTTAAGAAGAGCACCAGAAATTATTGCCTTCCTCAATTGTTTTATAGAGGAGGACCACTTTTGCTTGTCACAGGGAAACTGACCTTTACACTGGAAAGGATGCTACTAATATATTATCAATTAACATAATAACTAATGTTTTGTGCAAAAATGCTGCCATTTGTTGCTATGATGGAAAAATCCCTAATATTCCTAAATTTAACTTACAGGGATTCCTTGAGATCCCTGGTCACCTTTGGATCCTGGTCTTCCAGATGGTCCTGGCCAGCCTGGGCTTCCTTTTTCTCCTTTTGTTCCTGATAAGCCTGGAACACCTGGAGTTCCCTGTGGTCCAGGAAGCCCTAAAATAGAAATGGGAAAAATATTGTCTATCTCTGATTTGTTCTTACACTCAGTACAATCAAAAGAACAAAAGAATGCTCAGGAATAATGATAATGCTTCAAATATGAACATGGAACTTCATAATACTATTTTATTAGTTTTGTGAAACCTAATTGCAGTATAGCACTATCTTCCAACAGACAATTGCCATTTTTTGGAAATGAAGTATACTAAATATTTGGTTAAAATGCTTAACATCAACAATGTTTCCAATTCTGGAGCTGGCCATTCTCAAGATTTGAAAAATGTTATGTATACTTAATACTACTTTGAACTGCCAGAAAAACAGAAATAGAAGTGTTTTAATAAATATTAAAAATCTTCAATATATATTATTCATTCATTTGTGGTAAACAGAACATGTTCTCTCTCATTCAGTATGACAGAAATGAAAAATGTCAAAGAGACTAGGTGATAAATTAGGTAGATTTGAAAAGATTACAGATGATAGTCATTGAACTGAGTGGTAAGTTTGTCTAATATTATCAAAAGTCATCTAGAAATGCTCTTACCTTGAAGCCCAGGTTGCCCTTGGGGTCCCCGATCACCCTTTGGCCCCTCTATGGATCTGCCTGGTAATCCAGGAATGCCTGGCTGGCCTGGTGGACCCTGCGGACCAACAAATCCTAATTCTCCTTTTGCACCAGGAATCCCTGGACTTCCTGGGGATCCTGGGAAGCCCACATCTCCTTTTGAACCTAAAATTTAAAATGATACACTTGTGGTTAGAGTAAATACACTCAGAGTTAAGCAAACTTTGATAGCCATGTTGATCCAGAAGAAGAAAATCCAGTATTACACAAGGATCTACAGTGGTGTCATGTGTACCAGAGGAGAATGTACCTTGGCTGATGAGTCGTGACCAAGGCTAATATGTCCACCACTATGAAAGGGACATCTGAGGCTGCACAGTGTGATGCTACAACTAAGAGGAAAGCAGGAGTGTAGCTGATGAATCCTACAACTTTTGTCAGGTGCTGTTTGCTACTGAACAGACACAGGGGCTGCAAATGGAGTCCTGTATCAAGTAATGCCTTCAAGTAAAGGCAGAGGCTCTCTCTCACCCTGGCTTCCATCCAGTGCTACATTTGAAGTTCATGTACTGGCACTGCTCCAGTAACATTTTCTTTTGGGGAGACTTGATGGAAGGGATTTCTTCTTTTCAGGACTGAATAAAATGTTTAACTCATTTAGCAGAGTTAAGTGATAGCCACTGAAACAACTTTTGTGTAGCCTTACATTTAGGCATTTTCCTTAACCTTTCATACTAATTCTACATTTAACAGTATTTGATATTTGTAAGGGAGCTATTTTAGAAAAGGCACCAACATGACAAAAAGGAAGGAAAAGGACAAACATTCTTTCTCTCATCTCTCCATGTTCCTGTGATGCACCAGGTAATATAACAAAAGATGAGTTGGAATATCACACTTCACAACCTACAGAGTTGATTGTGGGCTGTGCAATGGAGTGGAAGAAGTGGACATAATGCAGGAAGAACACACCTGATTATGCACAATAGCCTATTACTTTGTTAAATGGCCATAGAATCATAGAATAGTAGAGGCTGGAGGACTATCAAGTCCAACCCCCTGCTCAATGTAGGACACCAAGTTAAACCATCGCTCTCAAGATGCAACTGGACAGCCATCTGAATGACTCCATTGTGGAAGGGCCCACAACCTCTCTAGGTAATTGGTTCCATCATATTGCTCTCACAATTAGGATTTTTTTCCTGATATGTAGACAGAATTTGGCTTCCCCACCACAGTTACACCTATCAGGTCATATTCATCCTCCTGCATTAAGTGTTCAGGTTCATGCTGTTTCTTTCCCATAGTCTGGGCATTAATATATAGACATTGAAAAACACATGTTTTATATTCTAGCTTCTTCCCACTTTTTTGGAAGACTACTTTTTGGCAGTGGTAGTGCTGCTTTCTCTGTTCTGGTATATAAGCCTTTGTTTTTATGCCCTCGTGTACTTCTCCCTCCCTGGTAGGATTCAACTTTAAAGCTATCCTGATGAACTTTTTCATGCTGTGGCCAAACATATTCTTTCCTGGCCTTGTAAAGTGCAACCCATGCTTTTGCCAGCAGTCCATCTTCCAGGAAGTGGTCCCAGAATCCAAATCACTCATGTTGGCAACAACTTACAAGTAGCCAGGCATTCACTTGGAGGATTTTTCTTTCCCTTTCTATTCTTCTTCCAAGAACTGGAAGGAGGGAAGAAAGAACTATCTGGGTCCCAAATTTCTTTACTTTCCTCCCTAAAGCTTCAACATATGACATAATTCCTTCTATGCTCCACTTGGCAGAGTCATTTATTCACACATATATACGCGTAAGAAGGATGGACTACATTTCAGTGGGCTGTATAAGCCTTGGCAATCCTTCAGTTATATCATTAATCTGTCCTCCAGTGAGATAAACATACCTGACGAGTCTACAGGTCTTCCTGACATACATGTGTTTCCATCCCATGCAACAGGGAGTCTCCCGCAAGTACTGATACATCATTATCTATAAATCAGGTTATTGACTACTGTTTGGGCAACTTGTTTTATTTAAACAGCTGATATAATTATGTTACAACCCTCATCTTCCAGAAACTATTTTTCTGTGCCTTTCCTGGGTAACACTTTGGGTTATTAAAATAATTGTCAAGGAAAAACTTCAAGCATGTTAATTATTCTTCCCAAGTGTGGCTGCTCTATGAAGCCCTTCCTCATTTTTAGCTGACACTACAAACTAATTGTGTTTCCCAGATTTCAGTTTTTCTCATTATTGGATCTGCATTCAGCTGTATTTACTTTGTACTTCAGGTTCTTTATTTTACCTTTTTCTCCCTTTGTACCTGGAAGTCCAGGAAGTCCTCTTCCTGGAATACCTGCAAAATGAATATACTGACACTGAGAAAATTGAATTTTTAAAAATATATATTTAGTATTCTAGTATTTCTAAAGCCCTACCAGGATCCTGATTATTGTTTCAAATATTTAGAATAAACCATTCTCATGGAAGTTTCTTCCTGTAAACCTATCTGATCTCACATCTCTTTTCCTTCAGATCCCCCCTCAAAACCTACAGTTTCTATGTTATCTATTGAACATAGATTCAGGAACCACACAGATATTGATAATGTAACAGGTATTATCTGTAGCCACCTGGCAAGGCTTTCAAGATGTATGAAGAGATACCCTAGCAGGATTTCTCCTAAGCTAAAGGGAGAGAGGGAAGAGGAATCCAAAAATTTGTGTGGCAGTGGGCCTTAGCATGAAGGCCAACATTGCCTGGACAAGAAAGGTTAAGTGTACAGGAGACATGCATGTAAGAAGCTTACCTGAGCACAAGTAAACCTGTTTTAGGATTTTTCCCTTCACAGTCACACTTTCTATTTTTTTTCTCCTTTTTCTTAAGTTCATGATGTGTTTTATATTGTTTTAATAATTGATGTTTTATATTGTACTTTTATATTTTGTAAGCTGTCCTGGGAGTTTGGCAATAGGACGGGATATAAATGCCCGAAATCAATCAATCAATCAATCAATCTGAACAACTGATGGCCCTTGTGAGGGCTGGGCCATGGGTGGGGATGGGCAGAACACTGGGTCCAGGATGTTGGACTCAAGTGAGAGTCTGGAGCTTTGCCAACAGCTGAGAGGCTAGGAACAGAATCAGAAGTCCAGAGCCAGAAGCATGGGATCCCTTCCAGTCCAATACAGCACAGAGAGAGCACAAGTCAGAAACAGTTCCAAGGTTGCTTGACCAGGTGGGCAGTTACAGCAAGGGCAGGGAAGCAAATGGCAGGAGCAGAATTGGAGCAGGCTAAAGCAAGGCAGGAATGGCAGGAGAGCAACTGGTAGGCTGGGGTGCAGAAGGGGCAAGTAGGTACAAGGCATGGAGAGATGTGGAGCCAAAGCACAAGGAATCATGGGGACAGTTTGGGTTGCTGTGGCAAGGAGCAGCTGTGTGGTGGTATCTTTTATGTCTCAAGGACCCTCAACTGCAGTGTGTGATGGGTTCCCAACTGTTCCTTGCAAGCATCCACAGAAGAGTACCTGGCTCTGGAGAGACTTGCAGGAGCAGCCAGGCTCTGGTCTTGACAGCACATTTGTAACCCCCTTATTACTATTACTAGGTTTAGAAAGTTATGGGAATGCCCTACAACTGCACACTTTTAAACTGGTAGCATGTGAAGAAAATAGCTACTAAGACTATAATATAACAGAGTGTCAGGGCAAAATTAGTGAAATTACTACTGTGATACAGCTGCCAAAAGCCTGACATTATAAGAACAGCTTTAGACTTAAGGTGGGTTCCTGAGCTGATCAGAAATCCATATTGCAAGCCTTGCTCCCCACATACATCTTAGAGATGCTAATGTATGGCTATTCTGAAAATTCTTTGTGTGTGTGTGTTATTTGTCTTCAACTATTTTGTATTACTCTCATGTGCATGCAGCAAATTCTTTATGTGATTTCCCCCACTCTCCCAAATGGTGAACATAACTAACAGGGTTGTAAAAGCATCCTGTACGGACTGCATCTTGCTAGTTCCCTTCAGGGGCAGCCTACATGCTGCAAGTATTTCCTTTAAGTCTGAATAAACTGGAAAGGTTCTTTTGACTGTACACTCCCATTGGACACTCTCTTGATTTCTTTTCAAGAGCAAGAGAAACATAGGAACATATGCAGCTATCCAGCAAACCCCACTATTTGCCTATCTATCGTGGCCGTGTCTATTTTGAGTGATATCAGCTCTCCATGTTCTGAGGAGGAGGTTTTGCAGATCATCTGCTTTCTGATCACTGTACAATTGGCCTGGTTAAAAATTATTGGGCAGCTAGTCTTGTATGATATATACTGCTAAAAATGATGGCTTTTAAAAGAACTAGTATATTAGAACATGGGTATACTATACTATACAGTGGTACCTTGGCTCATGAACTTAATCCGTTCTAGGACTCTGGTCATAACCCAAATTGTTCGTGAGGCAAGTTAAATTTCCCCATAAAGTTCATTGTAAATAAAGTTAATCCATTCTATCTCTATTTTTTTTTAATCAGAGAAATGTGAAGAAGCAAAGTGACAAAGAACAACAAAGATTGCGGCCATTTCCCCCCACACCCCAAGTACGAGTGTGGCCATCCCCCCACCCCTGTAGCGCAACTGCGATCATGCCCATCATCTGCTGGGGGGGGGGGAGAGATGGGTATGATCGCGGGCATGCTGGGGGGGGGGAGATGGGTGCAATAGTGGGCACACTGGGAGGGGGAGAGACAGGTGTGATCGTGGGCACACTGGGGGGGAGCGACGGGCGCAAATGTGGGCACACTTGGGGTGGTAGAGATGGGCATGATTGTGCGGGGGGGAAAGATGGCCGAGATCACAGTTGCACTTGTGCATGACAGTCGGGTACAATCATGGGCGTGCTCGTGCAGAAAAGACGGGCGTGATCTCAGCCATCCCCCCCACCCCCCAGCATGATTGCGGCTATCTCCCCACTCGGGGGTGGGGAGATGGACGTGATTGTGGTCGCCACCCAATGCAGAGTTCGAGACCTGAGTCAAAATTTTTATGAAATTTTTGTTCGCGACCTGATTTGGTCATGAACTGAGGCGTTCATGAGCCAAGGTACCACTGTAGTAGCAAATCACACATGAAAAAATCTAGCATGGACATACCCTAAAATTCAGTCTTCAGGTGGAAACAAGAAAAGCTATACTTATTTATTAGACACTGTGAGGTGATCTGTCAAAACATAGTCAATATTTTGGACAGTTCTGTAAATTACAAATTCCATTCTCAAAAAGTAAAAATTGGCAAGGTCAGGACACTCTCTCTCTCTGTGTATGTGTATGTAATTTGTCACATTCCCATATGTTCCTTCCCCTGTTGTTTGTCTCCAAATGTAGGAGAATAAATGAATGGTTATGCACATGGGCTCCATGCCTATATTTGGTTTGACTAAATTAAAAACTTTAAATGTACATTGACCAAATGTCAATAGTTTGCATGTGGAGTGCACATAATATGCAATGTGCATAACCCAGGAAAAGTTAGTATGTGTTAAGATTGCCTCCACAAGTGCTGATTTGTGTAGATAATTTTCTGTTGATTTTTCTGGATATCCCCCCTCTTCCCTCTTTATGATACTGACAGGGCCAAACCATGCATGCATGCAATTTAGTATTTTTAAAAACCTTAAGAACCTTAAGATGCTGGGACTGCTTGGAGTGTATAACTAGGTATTTACTGTAGTACATATATAAATATATACTAAACATTACCTCAAGAAAAAGAAATGAAGGCCTCACCTGGGTCACCTTTTGCACCAGGTAAGCCCGGGATTCCATCATAACCTGGTTCACCCTTTCCTCCAGGAGTACCTGGTGGACCTTGGGGCCCAGGGTCACCTGCAAATGAAGCATATTTACTTATTTTATATTTCAGCATTTTCTTGAGGTAACACTAATACATGCATAAAATGGTCATTGTACTTCTGGAGTCTGCTTCTGTGTTTACTGATAGTACCTTGCAAAGGCAGAAATCCATAGATTCTGTTACAAATACTCCTGAGGTAAGTCCAGGTGTAAGCTCATTTAATTTATGTAAAACAAATTCAGTATTTTACAAAGAATGAAAAATCAATCCAGAATTCCACTCAGAAAGTTTCCAAATAATATGAATTAGATGCATACTGTCATTGTAAATATATATAAAAAACTTAAAGGTATCTTATCAAATGGTTGAGGCATATAAAATTGAATCCAGAGTCCAGAATCCTACACCACTAGAGAAAGCAGGGGGAAGCAATCATGGCTTAACCTTGTGCTCCCACCTCCCATACAGTTTCAGAGGGTCCCCTTTGGAGCAGCTTCTCAGGGGGCACAGAGGAAATTAAAAAACAGACAGAAACTTCCTGTCCCTGCCCTGCCTTCCTGCATTGCTTATATTCATAAGCTGCTTTTAGGATAAATGTCATCCTCCTCCAAGGCAGTTTCCATAAAAGAAAAGAAAAGAAAATTACATGAAGTAATTTCAAAATTGTTATAAATATTTCAAATTTTTATAAAACTGGTAATCAGGTTAGTCTGTTGTAGCAAAAATATAAGTCTGTGCCTCCTTAGAGAAACAGATTGATTGTAGACCAGATCCCATTTCGTCAATTAGTTGACATGGTCTAGAAAGTTGGTAGGTACAGATAGAATTAAAACCATTTTTCCACAATGCAGTTAAAAGGGAAAGAAAGAGCTAGAGATATTGGTAGGTATGCCCTAATCTTAGGCAGAGAACAGATGATCCTCAATTAATTCACAGCAGATTTCTCCCACATGACATGCACCAAGAGGTCTGTCAGATTGTTGGCAAACAACATTCAAGCTCATGATATTGAGAGGGCCATGAACGTTGTTATTCATGCACAGTCCTACTGGAATGCTCATCAGCCCTCCAACTCAGAAGCTTACTGGCATCCAGTGTAGAGCAGGAGAAATGGAGGAGGAGATCTTTGCCTTTTTTGGACTCCTGTTTTACCTTTCAGCTAACGGCTCTTTCATTTATCTAACTGGAGTGTCTGGAAAGGAGAGGGAAGGAGGTTGGAATGGCTTCAGGGAACCTCATTTCCTGGCCACCCCCTTTTACCCCCTTTCTGAGGTCATTTTTCCAGTCTTGAAGAGCAGTTGGTGTGATTCTTTCTGTGCAAGTCGGTGGGTGAAGAAGGAGAGGCTCCAATTCCCAGCTCCAAAGTAGGAGCACTGTCTGGGAATCTGAAAAATCCTAATAAATCAATTGCATCACTAGCCTAGTTCATGTCAAATAAGATCAAATGTGCTAAAGAATTCCAGTCTGGAAATGTCATATTAGTGTATCCCTTTTTGACTAAGTATGCCCCAGGAGAGAGCTCACCCTTGTTAAGCTTGAATTATGGGTTTCTGTCTCTATCCTTATGGGCAGCTATTTTATGCTGTTTGGTTATGTCAACAAAGGCAAATCTGTCTTCACAGCCTCTACCTCATTTTGCAAGTTGGATTTTAGAGCCAAATTAAAATGATCTTTCTCCTAATTTCTCTGGTCACAAAATGGAGAGCATTTGAATGATTTCCCCAAGATCAGAAGTGTACATGTAATATACTGCACATCATACTGCACAGTGCTCCTCCAAAGACAAGCTGGCCTGTGGCTACTAGCTAACCATTTTCTCCTCAAAGTGCCATTCCAAACAATGTGAGTTATTCTGTGGGGTGTTCTGAAGAAACAGTATACATACTCTGACATGCATTCACTGGCTCCCTCAGAATGATGCTACCTTATGACGTAATGCTTTTCTGGGGCTTCCTAGGGGGGAAAATGATGCATTCCGCACCTTCAAGACCTTGTGTGTATCACAAAAGCAAGAGTACATTGGCGTTATAAGAACTTGCATATTACCTGCTTAGCAAGCATTTGAATGCCCCTTTGCCCCATGTTTTCACAAGTTCGACATTATAACCTAAGTTCCAGTTCGGTTCAACCCGGGTCTAGGTTTGTAACATATCAAAGAACAGAACCAATAGTTCTACACACTGCTTTATAGACATGCCTTTACTTGTAAAATTCCTTTCTTTCGTTTTAAAAATGAGAAAACCATATAATAGCATTTTAAAAGTACAAAATATTCAGAGTAAACCACAGAATTAATCATTATACTACTTGTAGAAAAAGAATAAAAGAGTATTTGTTTCTTTGTTTTAAATGTTTCTTTACCTGTTTCTCCTTTTGTGCCTGGAAAACCACTCAGGCCTGGAAATCCCTTTTCACCTTTTTCACCTGGGATACCTGGAACACCTTTTTAGAAAGCAGAAGATTTAGTTTTATTGCCTGAGTAAGTCACACATAATACTAGAGAAGGCTCTGGCACACTTACCTGGAGAACCTGGAAGACCTGATTGCCCTTTGGCACCTGGGGAACCAGGGATACCCGCAATTCCTGGAACACCCTTTTCACCTTTTTCCCCAGGCGTGCCTGGGCTGCCTGTCCTTCCTGGTTCTCCCTGTGAAATAGAAGAGCTAATAGTACATTCTGCCTACTCTCAACATTTACAAATGCACCCTAAAATTATTATACTCTTAGTTATATTTATATCTTTTTTTTCCTTCTGAGGAACTCAAGGAGACTTACATTAATTCTCCTTCTCTCAATCTTATCCTCGCAGCAACAACCCTGTAAAGAAGGTTGGGCTGAGAGTCTATGATGGGCCCAAAGTCATCCAGGGAGCTTCTTGGCTTGGTGAAGATGAGAGTCCAGATTGCCTGAGTCCCAGTCCTGCACTCCTAGGCATTGCACCACACTGGTTTGTCTCAGATGAATAAATTACTACATTTAAGACCCAGCTATGCTTTACAATGCAGTCGTATGCAAATTTAGCCTGTCAACTGCTTCTCCTTCATGGCAAACCAGTTCTTGGGATGACTGACATTGGATATTGGGGGTAAGGGCCAGGGGTGCAAAATCCTTCCTCTCAGTCACTGCTTTTCTCCTGAAACTTCCTCCTAAGCTGCATTTAGCACTAACAGGGTTTCCTGGCCCATGATTAACCTTGTATTACTCTGGAAAGAAAGCTGTTCAGGGACATTTCACAAGGTAATTTGTGAAATTCATCCCTGCTGAATGTTTCTCCTGAGGTACCACTGATTCTAGAGTGATTGTGCTTAGAAGTAGGGTTGGGTAAACTAAAGAGCAGGGAGCTAACCAAACAGTGGGCCCAGTGAGGCAGATAAGAGAGATGGCAGAGGCATGAAATAGAGCCTCACACAGAAGAAACAAGCAGTGAGGAAAGTCAACATGAAGATGAAACAGAAATGGATTTTCAAAAGTGACCCACTTATTCCAGCAGTAGTGTCTAATAAGAAGATGCAAAAACAAATTCTTAAAAATGCCCCAGTGTGTTTTAGAAAAACAATTTGTTCAGGATCAAGGAACAAGTGTATAAAATTTGCACTTTATAACAAAAAGTTTATAATATAATGCATATGGAAGGAATTTTGATAAGTATTTGTATCATCTGTATACAACTTTTTACAAAGAACACTAAATCTGGAAAGACAAGGATCAGGTAACCTTGATCCTATGATAGGTGATCAAGAAAAAAGTTCTGAAGACAGAAGATAATTAGGCTTGAAAAGGCTGCACAGAAATGAAGATGACAACATTTTAGATTCAGATTGAACTAATCCTTATATCTTAGCTCTTCATCTCTAAGGATTAATCTTTAACAATAAATTAGGGTTGTTTTATTTATTTAATCACTTGTCTTTTCACACACAAAAAATGTGCACAAAGCAGCAATTAATAAAGTCCAGATACACAAAACCTTAACTAAAATGTAACATATAAACAAACTAAAATGCAAAATAAAATAAATAGTATCATTAATTGAAACCTTCTCCAGCAACAGTCCAGTTTATATGCTTTATTAGAAGATTGAGGGAAGTGGGACCATTGCTGAAGATTGACGAGAACTTACAGCAACTTACAGGCATGTGAAGGGGAGTCACAGGGTAGAGGGTCATGACCTGTTCTCCCTGTGGTGGGAAGGATGCAGTCCAATGGGGCAAAGTTAAAAGAACCGGGTTTTAGGTTGGATATCAGGAAGCATTTCTGACATCTGATATCTAGAATTTCTAGGATATGGAATGGGCTTCCATGGGAGATTGTGGAGGCCCCATCAGTGAGGGAGTTCAAGGAAAGATTGGACATCCATATGTTGGACATTATATAAGCGGAGTTGGCTTGTGCCAGGGGTCAGACTAGATGGCCAGGAGTCCCCTTCTGACTGGCTATGTTTCTACAAATCCATGTAAAAACTCCCAGGTTTACCACCTGGTATCATCAGGTGGGACAGGGAAAAATCTCTGTCTTCAGTCCTAGGAAATCAGTACCAATTAGTGTAGACTAGGTTAAGCAGAAGGTAAGTCTCCAGATATTTTGGACTTTAATTCCTGAAAAGTTTTATCAGCATGGCCAATAGTCAGAAATGGTGACGGCTGAAAATCAAAACATCTAGATGTCTTTCTGTCCATCCCTGGTGTGGACAATAATGAGCAAGGTGGTCCAATGATCTAACTCAAAATAAGGGTACCTCCTGTGTTTGTTTCCTTTTGTTATCTCTTACTCTTACATTTTAACTGCATTGACCCACCCCTGGATTCTTATATGCAAGTTTCATGCTTTGCAATTTGAAAGAGCTATATCAGCAAAGTGACTTGTACATCACTTAACATGTCCACGAAATATTATGCATACCTTCTCACCAGGGGCACCTGGAAAGCCAGTTCCTGGAAGTCCAGGTTCTCCTTTGCTGCCTTTCTCGCCTTTCACACCAGGAAATCCTGGTTTACCTGTCTCACCTGGAAGACCTTGCACACCCTTTTCTCCTGGCTGCCCTAAAATTCAAAGTTCAAATCATGACATATTACAATATATTTTTCTTCCTTAAAAATAAAACACTGTGTCAAGATTAATCTGAATATTTTGGATACTAGAAAATGGATGGTAACCCAGTCAATGTAAATTTCAAAATTACAGAAGTTCTAAAGTAAATGTTACCTGGCAGACCCATTTCCCCTATTGATCCCTTTTGTCCAGGATATCCTGGTTCACCCTGGTATCCAGGTGGGCCTGGGTCTCCCTTTGGTCCTAAATTGGAAAGGGAAATATTAAAAATTAAATCCATCCCTATGGCACATTAGTACACACTATCACAATGTTTATTCCTTTATAATGTAAGGGTCCTTACTATGTAGATTATTTAATCCCCTAACAGTTGTATAGAAATAGAATAGCAGTATGTTGTGGTAGCTGCACCAGGAGTTTCACTAGAAGGAGTGTTGAAAAGAAAACAAGGGCATCATACCTGCTGGGCCAGGCAAACCAGATTCCCCATCCTTCCCAGGCATTCCAGGTGTACCAGGTTCCCCTTGAGTTCCCTTCTCGCCTATTGGTCCATGTTGTCCTAGAAAGCATAATTATTTGGTGTGTATCATCACCATCATTCTTTCTACTACATCTCAAGTTACACCAATATAATTGTGATAATAAATTTGAGCATATTACAACTGATCCCAGTTCCTGTCTGTTCTTGCTTCTACTGTTGCCCCCTGACTGCAATGGGGAGAAACTAGCAGTTCCAGAAAATGTATCTGATACTGGGGAAGAGAAAAGGCAAATTCTTACTATGATTTTCTGTTTACGGGATTCCTGGAACTCTTCTGCATATCTCTCAGGAAACCATGCAACCTAAGATAATCAGGTGATTTGTACATCCAAGAGTCCTTCCAACTCAGTATTGGAAAACAACAACAACGACAACAACAGGATGTTGTCCAGTAAGAAGCAGGTGTATATGCCCTGTTGTCTGAGGTAGGTCACCAGTGGCACTAGGATCTTCATAAACTCCCATGGCACTGAAGTAAATCTGCAGGTCATAGCCCCTGTACTAGACATGTTTTCAGTGGTAAGTGAATTGCAGAAACTTTGGATGGCTAGGTCTGGTTGGCACATATAGGCATGCCTGTAAAAGGTCTACAGATTTCAAAAAATCTTATCTGATTTGTCAGGTGCCTACCTTACTGAGCTTTGGGCACCTGAAAAAACCTTTTCTCTTCCAGTGAACTTATGGTACCACTGAGATTATTTATAGGAATTTGTAATGGTTTTAATATATTAACTTAAGCTTTATTTTATTTGACTATATGTGACTTTATCCTACTTATTTATTATATTTTAACTGCATCATGTTATTTATGTTATTTATTGGTACTTTTTCTCCTTCATGGATCACTGCCTTGTCGTGGCAAAGGGGCTTACGTAGCTCAATGAAGCTATGAGCTATGCCATGCAGGGTCACCCAAGATGGACAGGTCATAGCAGAGAGCTCTGACAAAACATGATCCACTGGAGAAGGAAATGGTAACACACTCCAGTATCCTTGCCATGAAAACCCCATGGAAAATACCAAAAGGCAAAAAGATATGACGCCAGAAGATGCGCCCCTCAGGTTGGAAGGTGTCCAATGTGCTACTGGGGAAGAGCAGAGGGCTAGTACTAGTAGCGCCACAAAGAATGAAGCGACTGGGTCAAAGCTGAAACGACACTCAGTTGCAGATGTATCTGGTGGTGAAAGGAAAGTCCGATGCTGCAAAGATCTGTACTCCATAGGAACCTGGAATGTAAGATCCATGAATCAAGGCAAGCTGGATGTGATCAAACAAGAGATGACAAGACTGAACATCAACTTCTTAGGAATCAGTGAACTAAAATGGACAGGAATGGGGGAATTTAATTCAGATGACCATCAGGTATACTACTGCGGGCAAGAATCCCTCAGAAGAAATGGAGTAGCCTTCATAGTCAATAAGAGTAGGAAAAGCAGTACTGGGATACAACCTCCAAAATGACAGAATGATCTCAGTTCAAATCCAAGGCAAACCATTCAACATCACAATAGTCCAAGTCTATGCCCCAACCACTGGTGCTGAAGAGGCTGAAGTTGACCGGTTCTATGAAGGCCTACAACACCTTCTAGAATTAACACCAAAAAATGATGTCATTATCGTCATGGGGGATTGGAATGCTAAAGTAGGAAGCCAAAAGATAACCGGAATAAAAGCAGGTTGCTTACCTGTAACTGATGCTCTTCGAGTGGCCATCTGTGCATTCACACATATGGGTGCTGCGCCTGCACAGTGCCTAAGGCCGGAAAGATCAGAAAGCTAATCTACTCACCCATCACACATATGGGTGAGTAGCAAGCTTACCAGACTCGGAGGAGGGCGGTGTCGTCACTGAAGGACGGCGGAGAGGACAGCCCTACCGAAGGAACAGTCCTGTCTGGCACGCACATCAAGGCAGTAATGCCTGGCGAAAGTGCACAGAGCAGCCCAAGTCGCAGCTTTGCAGACGTCTTGGATTGGGATTCCCGCGGCAAAGGCAGAAAAAACTGCTACTGCTCTTGTGGAGTGACCTCTCAGAACGACAGGTAAGTCTATCTTAGCAAGTTGATATGCAAATACAATGGTTTGAACTATCCACTTTGACAGTCTTTGCAATGAGACAGGAGATCCTTGGTCATGCTCAGAATACTTAATAAAGAGTCTGTTGGAAAGCCGAAAGGATTCCGTGCGTGATCTGTAAAAGGCCAAGCAACGACGCACATCAAGAGCATGCAAGGTTCTTTCGATCGGGTTCGACGGCAATGGAAAGAAGGCAGGTAAACAATCTCCTGATACAAATGGAACAGTGTGGCTACCTTGGGCAAAAACATAGAGTCCATTCGAAGAACCACTTTCTTCTTGTGAAAGTTCAAATAAGGCGGATCTACCCGCAGAGTGCAAAGTTCACTAGCTCTGCGAGCTGATGCGACAGCAACAAGAAAAGCCGTTTTCCAGGATACAAGACGCAGATCAACGGTGGCCAAAGGTTCAAATGGGGGTCTTGTAAGCGCTTGTACAACAACTGAAAGACTCCACGTAGGCATGACAGGTCGAATGGAAGGGTGAAGATTCTGCAGTCCTTTAAGGAACCTCCTAATAAGAGGCTGTGAAAACACCGATGAGCCCTGTATCATACCACGGTAATGTGATATCGCTGCCGCATAAACCTTAATAGATGAAGGCTTAAGTCCCGAATGATGTAGCTGTAGAAGAAACTGAAGTATATATTCAATTGAGCCTGACTCTGGAGCAAACGAATGTGATTCAGCGAAAGATGAGAATCGGCGCCACATCGCTGCATAAGACTTCCGTGTTGACGGTCCCAGAGCAGACTCAAGAATTCTCTGAATGTCCGGGTCTAAAGCACTTGATCCCGAAGCAAAGTCCATCAGAACCGAGGGAGTAAGCAGCACCTCAGGTTCATGAGTCGAGGTACTGAGCGTCCAAGTAGCCCTCAGTATCGAGTCAGTACCGTCAGTCAACGGATTCGCCACGCCGTGAGATTCAAGCAAGTTAAGTCCGGGTGACAGACAGCGCCGTCTTGATGAGTTATCAGGTGTGGTATTGATGGGAGGCGAAGAAAGGTGTTGTCTGACATCTGAGGAAGGGTGGAGAACCATGCCTGGTGGGGCCACCAAGGTGTAACCAGGATTTCTGTGGCACCGTCATGAACAATCTTCAAAACGAATTTTGTTAATAGAGGAATTGGCGGGAAAGCATAAATTCTGATGTTGGACCAAGGGATCATAAGGGCGTCTCCTACTGACCCCAGTCCCATGCCCGCTCTGGAGCAGAACATTTCGCATACCCTGTTCTTGCAGGTAGCAAACAAGTCGATGTCCGGATGTCCCCAAAGTTGGAAAAGTTGATTGCAGACTTGTTGATCTAACTCCCACTCATGAGTCATTGACATGTGTCTGCTCAAGACATCTGTTTCCTTGTTGTCGGTCCCGGCCAGATGGACTGCCAAAAGAGTTATACCTCTTGGGATGCACCATTCCCAAATGTTCATGGACAGATGAGCTAGGGTTGTGGATTTTGTCCCGCCCTGCTTGTTGATGTAAAACACAGTGACTATGCTGTCGGATGTGATCTGAATTACTTGCTGATGAACAGTGTCCTCAAAAGATCAAAGAGCTTTGAAAATTGCTAAGAGTTCGAGGTAGTTGATGCGTCTCGACGATTCCTGACAGTTCCAAGTGCCCTGAGACCGAAGTCCAGCGCATACAGCACCCCACCTGATTAGCGAAGTATCGGTATAAAGAGTCAGTGTTGGGTGAGGCGTCTGGAATGGGGTACCCATATTTAAATTGTTCGGTACCGTCCACCATGTCAACGTCTGCCGAACAGATAGAGGCAATCGAATTGGCTTGTCAGGCGAATCTCGCTGCGGGTGAAAGTTTTGGTTGAACAATAATTGAAGAGGACATAGTCAGAGCCTGGCATGGGGGACAATGGCTACAGTGGCAGCCATATGACCCAAAAGCTTCTGAACAGAGAGCACCGGAACGATCTTGTTTTGTCGGATCTGATGAATACAGGACCAAAGGCTGTCTTGATGAGCTGGAGGGAGAAAGGCCCTCACCAGAGTGGAATCGAGACGAGCTCCAATGAAGTCGACCACCTGCACAGGAACAAAGGATGATTTTTCACGATTAATCCACAGTCCTAAATCATCCAGCAAAGAACAAGTTTTGTCGATGGCTAAAAGGAGACCTTCATGGGTCTGGAAGACTATAAGCCAGTCATCCAGGTAAGAGTATACTTGGATTCCTTGAAGCCGAAGATGCGCACACACTGGGGCCATGCATTTCGTGAAGACCCTCGGAGCGGTGGTCAATCCGAAGGGAAGGACATTAAATTCATATATATCGGGCCCGATGGTAAAGCGCAGAAGACGTCTATGACCTGGGTGAATCAAGATGTGGAAATAGGCGTCTTTCAAATCCAGTGAGGCGAACCAATCCTCTCTCCTCAGCAATGGAAGGATATTTTGAAGGGTAGTCATCCGAAATTTCTTAGGTTTAATAAACTTGTTAATATCTCGGAAGTCCAAGATTGAACAGAGACTACCATCCCATTTAGGGACCGTAAAATATCGTGCATAGAATCCATGAAGTCCCTCAGAACAGGAGAGCCGTTGGATCGCTCCTTTACGAAGTAGTTGTTGCACTTCGTCTTCCAGCACCTGAGAGCGTGGTGTAACCCGGATTGGGCTTGATGGAGGAACGGTATTGAATTCTATTCTATATCTGAGCTGAATGATGGATAAGACCCACCGATCAGATATGATGGACTCCCAAATGGGGAGTCAGCTTTGCAGCTGGTCCCCAAAAGGGAGGAGGAAAGGTGGGTGTTGAGAGGGAGGAGAGGTTTGCCCGCCCCATCAGCACTGGCGCTCCTCGTTGTCAAAATGGCGGCAGCCTTGCTGGAACCATTGCTGAGGTTGTTGTCTCTTGTGCTGCTGGAGTTGGTGGTATTGTTGCCTCGGGGGCAGCTGGTACCGATAGAATGGATGCTA